TTAAGTGGAGAGGAAATGTTTTGAGAATTATGAGGACAATGAATGTATAAATGTGTTTTACACAATTGATGTATGTATGGATTGTGATAAGAGTTTTATGAGCCCCTAATAAAATGATTAAAAAAAACAAAACACCAACCAACCATACAACAACAACAACAACAAAGGTGACATAAGTTAGAAGTTGAGGATAGAGGGAAGGCACTGGACATGCTATGCTACAGGCTTGGAAAAAGCAAACACATAGTTTGGACAAAGGGAACAATGAAGAAATTAAATGGAAGAGGAACATTGGCTTAAATTCGATCTGCCTTGAACACAGAAACATAACGTGAGGGACAGACAAACATGGGTTCCAGCCTTGTTCCACCAGTTGACTGGCAAGAGAACATATCCAAGGCTGTTTCCTCAGCTATAAAATGGGGATCATAATAGTCGGCTGCAGGGTTATCAGGATAATTAAATGAGACAACCTATCTAAACTGTACCCTTTCACACAGCAGACACTCTGTAAACGGGCAAAGCTGGTGGCTGAACTTGGAACTGGCTCGTTGAGGTTTTAGATAAGGGTGCATTTTATACATAAAAAAGTCTACACACAGAAGAGTCCATTTGTACAATAGAGAGGAGACATAGTCAGTTATGGACAGAATCTCAGAATTAGTATTGAGTCTAATTATAAGTATGGAAAGAGGAAAATAAAAAATACAAGTACATTTCTAAGTCTCACACTGGTAGTCCATTCGAGACAATTAAATTAGTAGAAGAGAGAATAAACTTACTACAAGATTAATTGTGAAAACAAAACTCTGCACAACGGAACCAGTAGGTGCCTGGTGATAAATGGAGAAAAGATTGAAGTTGCCCCGGAGTTTGTCTTTCTTGGCTCCACAATCAGTGCTCATGGAAGCAGCAGTCAAGAGATCAAATGATACACTGCATTGGGTAAATCCTCTGCACGAGACCTCTTTAGAGTGTTAAAAAGCAAGGAGGTGGTTTTGAGGACTAAGGTGAACCTTATCCAAGCCAAGGTATTTTCCATAACCTCATATGCATGAGAAATCTGGACACTGAGTACGACTGAAGAAAAAGGGATGCCTCTGAACTGTGGCGTGGGTGAAGAATATTGAAAATACCATGCACTGCCAAAGGACCAGATTTGTCTCCGAAGAAGTACTGCCAGACTGATCTGCAGAGGAGGGGATGGTGAGACTTGGTCTCAAGCACTTTGGATACGTTCTCAGGAGCGCACACTCACTGAAGAAGGCTATCATGGTTGGGAGAGCGTCGACGAAAGAGGGGAAGTCCTTCAACAAGCCAGCCTGGCACTGTGGCTGCATGGATGGGCTCAAACATAAGAGCCACTGCGAGGATGACACAGGACTTGGACCTGACACGCTGGCACCTAACAACCACAGTAAATGTGGAGAGCGCAAAGTAGGTTTGATCGACTCCAATTTATGAGCTACGCTGGCGGAGGAGGAAGCAAAGAAGCCCTGGTGGGGCAGGGATTAAGTACTCAGCTGGTAACCAGTAGGTCAGCCATTTTCACTTACTCTGCAGAAGAAAGAGGTGGCTTGGAATCCCTAGGAGGTAGTGCTACTGTCATCGGGGCCCCTCTGAGTCAGAACCAGCTCAATGTTTCATAAAAAGAAGAGGAAAACCACACCAAACCCACTGCTGATTCGGCCTCAAAGGGACAAATTGCCACAGAGTAGAACTGCCCCCTAAGATTTCCAAGGCCGTGAGTCCTGAGGGAATTGACTGCGGCATCTTTCTCAGAGTTGCAGGTGGCGTCAGAACCGCTGACCCTTCCATCAGCTGCGGAACACGTTGCCCACGGAGCGGCCAGAGCTCCTTGGGAAAAAGAGAAGCTGCGGAAATCTTTGAGAATGATAGGTGTTGTTTTTACTGTAACCCTTTCCTCGTTCCTTTTCAATTGTGGCATCAGAGATGGATGATAAATATTTCAGAGCAGTATTTCATCAAAGCAGTCTAGGTTGGAGAAATGGTAGAAAGCATTCCAAATGCCGAGAGATCAATGCCAACCCACCCACCCCCTTACCTGAAAAATTGCTTATTGATTGGCACAAGATACAGTTCAAATCATATTAAAAAGGGTTTAATATTTCTCTCCATAGCTACAAACCAGGATTCTCTCAAATGTCTACCCTGTAAGCAATGATGAACTCAAGAGATCTTGAAAACGGTGCCATTTTTAAGCTCTCTATATAGTACAAGGTTGGAAAAAATCCTTTTCAAAAATTGGACTAATCCAATTCCATTTTATTAATAGGAAATGTATCCAGTGATCAGGAGGCTCCTTTAAGATTGGATAATTAGTTGGTGGCAATGACAGAAACGTTCAGTTTTAAGAGGTAAAATCAATGGGAATTTCCTCTTAAGTTCTAATATGAACCTTATTTAAAAGGGGTAGGACTAGGTAGTAAAAAATATTATGGTGCTAAGATAAGTGACTAGCAATTTCTCTAAGAGATCCTAAATTAATTAATAAACACATTAGTTAAAAACACAAGCACACAAGATACAAACATACATAAAACACTTAAAATATTATTTAAAAATACAATTCCACACACTTTTTCTCATTCTGTTTCATTAAATTTTGAATTTTATACTTTTACGAGAGTGCATTTATTATGGCCAGAAGCACATAAAAATTCCCAACATTATATTGTTAAAATTGCTCTTTAAAAACCTAACTAAAAAAAAACCCCATCTAACTATCCCTTTGTACTTGAATCTACTTTTTGTAATAGGTGGCATTAGAAATGATGGATTTCTGTTAAGTGCTAGTTCAGTTTGCGGGCCGTCATAAATTTTCACCATTTATGTCTACTCAAGAAACTCACAAATTAAATTCCAATAACTTTGAAAGTGTTACCACTGCCCTAAGCCGGGGTGGTGTCTTCAGCTTTGCGTTGGACTGCTGAGCAGTTGGAATCCACCAAGATGCAGCTGTCTGCTCTTGTTAAGATTTACAGCCCGGGAGCCCCGGAAGCTGCCCTGCTCTGTCCCACGACATAGTTAGTCATGGCAGCGGGTATCATTGAACAACTACCACGTGTTGCAGTCAATCGACACCATAAAACATGTCAATCTCATGTTTAAAATATACCACCCCAAACGTCATTCCTATTAGAACCTATAGTTAGCACCTCAAAGTGATTTTTCACTTAAACACCAGGTATCTGGATTTGGAGGAAAAATAACTTAAGAAGTCCTGAAAAACTACATGGATTTTCCATCTTTGAAATAACTTCCCCCTGTTAATAAAACCTCTCATTATGAATTAGCTCTCAGTTTCTCTAGGGAACTGTTGGGGTACAAAAAGCAAGCGTTCATGGGATCAGCTTTCTTCGCCACCCCCTACACCATCATCGTCCTTTGGCACCCCGCGCCCCCACTTTCGGCTGGAAGGGCTCATCTCATTTCCCCTCGTGCCTTAGCTCTCTCCTGGCACACCGCCGCCGCCGCCCTCCTCGTCGCGGTTGTCCCTGGAAACGGACGCCGTCCCTGGACGCAGCCTCGCCGCCGCCGGCCGGCGCGCCCCACCTCTGCGGAGCGCAGGCACCGGGCGGCACGCGTTACCTAGCGACGCCAAAAGCTTGCAGCCCCACGGCGCATGCGCCGGCGACACCTGCCCCGCGCAAAGGGCGGTTGCACAGGTGGGCCTTTTACACAGACGGCGCTGTTGGGGTCGGTCCTTTGGTGCCCGTGGAGCCGACGGGGTGGCCCTGCTTGTCGTCCGAAAGAGGGACAATGTGAGGCACGGAGGAAAGCGAGCAGATGCGTCCTAAGCGTCT